TTTTTGCTTCAGGTTTTTTTTTTCAACAAAGAGGGCCCCAAATGAGCACAATAATTTCCAAAATATTTGAGGACATCCATGTTCCATCATCGCTAACAAAATTATCAACTGCAGTATCACAAGATCCACAGAAGTAAATGAAATTTAATATTCTGTATCAATTATATAAAGCAACCATTTATATTATTTTAAATAGAATTTTAAACCATTTTTTTCGTTTCAGCCCACAACCAATGCCAACACCACAAATATTAACACCAACCACATTTGATCCACAAACTCCTACGCCCATGAAATCAAGCACAAGGTAAAACATGTTTAGTATAATAAATATTGTCCACTAATTTAAATATATATCTAAAAAATCTTCCACGTTTTCAGCCCTGAATCAAGAACAATAAAACAATCTGAAAAGTGTCCAAGAACAAAGTAATATAAATATTTCTGAAATCTTTATTTTACACTATATAAAATAAATATTTTTGACTTCTTTAACATTTATATTTACTAACATTTTTTTTAACCTTTCTATCTTGCAGTTGAAAAAAATAAGATGAGAGCACATGACGACAACAACAATATATTTTACTTTCTACATATGTATATATACATGTAAATATATTTTAAATAACAATACTAACATGTTAAATATTTTTGACTTCTTTAACATTTATATTTACTAACATTTTTTTTAACCTTTCTATCTTGCAGTTAAAAAAAATAAAATGAGAGCGCACGACAACAACAATATATTTTACTTTCTACATATGTATATATACATGTAAATATATTTTAAATAACAATACTGTATATATATATATATTTATAAAAAGTTCAAATCTTTATCTAATTAAATTATAAGGCTTATAATACAAATATATAGTTGTGGTTCTTAAATAAATTTCTTTATGAAATTTCAGTGTATTGTCATTACTTACCTAATTATACTTGATTATTGAAAATTTTATATCATCTTTATTTAGAATCAGTTTAATATCTTGTACTTTATTCTATCTTTCTAATATTATACTGGTACTTGTTTATTTTCTTTTCGATTATCTAACAATTGACTTGACTCATAAGTAGTTTTGTCAAACTACTCACGTTGTCATTAATCTATAGAGAGTGTTGTGTAATTTCTAACCACCTATTTTAACCATTCTAAGGGCCCGTTTGGTTTGGGGATCCAGGACAAAAGATTAGAATCATGTGCTGAAAACATGTTTGGTGTCGTATGGATTGGAGTCATGGACTTGAGTTAAGGTTCATTTTTTGGGTCCTGATTCAAAATCAGGACCCCCCTGATTCAGCCCAAGACTTCAGTCTTTGTACAGTAATTTCATTGTGCTTAAAACAGTTAATCCTTGTGGCTTTTTCCGCATCTTAGCACTGTCATTTGCAGAGTGGCTTTTTAACAAAGGTGTACATGTATGTAGAATTGTAGATAATGTTGTTATTTTCTTTTTTATCAGTTTGGTTAGTAATATATTTCCCACATTTTTTATATATGCTTGGCTTGTTATATAATTTCATTCACATTTTTTCCATTTATTTCTCACTTAGTTTGTTATAATTTTGAGTTAAATTATTTGCATAATTTTTTTTCAAGTACTTCATTTTTTTAATTATATAACGAATTATATTTTTTTAAAATTACACATAACGAATTATATTTATTACATAATTTTTAAATTACAATATTTTGGTCATGATTCAAATTCAGAAAATAAGACAACCAAACACTGATTCGAATCATATTTTAGATTAGAATCAAAATCATGCATATACACATCCAAACGAATGTTCTAATCACTCTGAATCATGATTCAAATCATGAATCATGATTATAAATCAAAAGACTCAAATCACTCTGATTTCAATCCTTATACCAAACGGACTCTAAGTTACGGGAATTGTTGTTACATGCGATTGTCCATTTTATTTCTTCTATGAGAACTGTCATTTTTTATGTGACCTCATTTTATTTATTGTATTTACATTTATCTCTTAATTTTCTTTTAGCTGTTGTTATTACACTTTAATCACGGTTTTTAATAATCACTAAGAGGCCGTTTGGTAGAGGGATTCGTTCCCTGATTTGAATCATGATTCGTGATTCGCTACAGTATTTTCTCTCACAAAAAATACACGTAAATCGAAAATGGTTCGAATCACATGGTTTGAATCCTCTAACCAAATGTCCTCTAAGTGTACTTTTGTTGTATGATTTTTATGCTTGCAAGTACACGTGTCGCAATCAAGTAATAAAGTAAGTACGGATATCGTCCCACAGAGAATGAATCACCAAGTGTACATGCATAAATCAACTAGTTTACCCATTTTAAGTGACAAAAACTGATTGTTCAAAAATTACCCAATTGTTATAAATGCAGAAATGTAAAATAAACTGTAAAAGAGATTAACCAAAAGATCAAGACTACTAAAATGGAGTGTATGCAGTGATGTATATCAGCTAGACCTACCAATTTCCTCTTAGTTGCAAGTCTGATGGCAGAATGCTATGAGAATGCTATAGCATTCCCTGTTAACAAAAACTCTTTTATTACGCATATGATTCTCCCGAAGTCATTATGTCTAAAATTCCTCAACTATTTCCAGCATATTCCTATGTGGATCTAGTTTCAGAATGCAAATTAAGCTCGGATTTCTATTTGTTATGCAAGATGAACAATATATTCCTATACCATTCACAATTCAATAAACTAAGCAAGAGTATTGAACTTGCATCATCTATGTAAGATCCAACTAAAACTAACCTTTCAAGTATTAATCTTAGTCTTGTATTATACGTTTGATGGCCAGTCAAAAACAGAAACGAACATTAAATACACATAGATGAACATAGAATAGAATTAATCAACATTCCTTAAGCAACTATCATCCTTAAAAACCTTGGTTCCATTAGTAGATCTAACTTAACAAATTAGTTCATGATGATAATTACAAGAACTATATTTCCAGTAATATCCATGTCTTAATCAATATCAAAAATAATAAAAGATTCAAGCTAACAAAGAGAGGGAAAATTGAAGAGCTGGATCTTGGATCTTCTAGATTCCTCCTTGTCCTTCTGCACGGATTCACTCTCTACAGCTCTCTCCCTTGATGTTTTTCTTCTCTTCCTGACGTTGCTGATACTTATTTTTCCTCTCATGGTAATATACTGTGCGTTTTTCTGGAGGAGAGGTACTTTGTGTATTGTATATTTTTCTTTTCAGCAGTGGTGCTGCCTTTTTTCTCTCTGTCGTGTGTTCTCTTCCTTTCTTCTATATTTTTTCTCTTTGTACTCGGCGGCTCTCCTTTGTTTTCAGAAAACATTTCCTCTTTAGGGCAACAAAAAGGGCTGAGGTGTCACTTGATGATGTGTGTAGTAGACCACAATGACACCTGCTCAACTAGCTCAAACAGATTTTTTTGTCTGCTTTCTCCAAGTAGTGCGCTGATGTCATCCACATGCTAGCTATTCCCAGAATACTGTAGCACAGTCATAGCATTCTCCCTGCAATTTGTAAAATCACAACTTAGGCATATTTCAACTTCTTTTTTACTCAAACCACTCATTCTTAACCCAAGAACAGCACAAGTATATAATTTAGCAAGATAAAATGTAAAATCAGAAAATCTAAGTTAAAACACAGAGAAAATAATGAAATACACTCTTGGCTAAGTAAATTTTAAGCTAAAAATGCATAAGATAACTCTAATTTCTTAGAGTTATCAACTTCCTCTACAAATGCAGAGACATTCGACAAAAACAAGACCAAAACATTTGTAAAAACAGAAATAGATGGAAAAAAGCTTTTACTATAAGTTTATTGAAAAATAAAAAAGTTAAAGACCTAATCTTTCATTTGACTTTCTCATATTCTCTAATAATCAAACGTCTGTACCAAAAAAAGAAGAAAAAAAACACATCAAAATGAAACAGAATCAAGAAACAAAACAGTAAAAAAACCAAACTATTGGGCTGATGTGGGGAAACATAAGCGACATTGGCATCAAGCAAACAAAAACCCCACTTTGATTTCTGATGGCTCTCGTTGAAATTGAAAAAGTATTAGGCATAAGGAGAAGAAAAAAAAAGGAAAAAAGAAAAGAAAATAAAAGAACGGAGAGATCAGAGACTATTTGTGTCACCAGGCGTCCCACTGACAAAAGAATGAGGAATTTGGACTTTTAGACAAGTCATAGTGTTAAGAATAGGTGTTATATAATGGTTATTGACGGTTATTGTTAAATATAAAAATTTAATAACGTGACGTAATTTATTAATTATTATAAATTTTTTATTAACTATTTAATTTATTTTAGTTATTAAATTAATATATTACAATTAAAATAATAATACTCATTAATATTTAAATATAAGAAAGATCATTAAAATTTCACCCATAATAAATTGAAAGCAACTGTTAAATACATCTAAACATAGATTTCGTGTCTGTGTATATATATAATATCATATATGAATAATCGGATAATGCTAATAATACTAATAGGAGTAAATATATCGTAATATTAACATAGAAAAATAAGGGACCCACTAAATGGTAAACTATCTTACAATACTAATAGATACCCTTTCTCTGTTGCTTTCAAAATCCTTCTAATTCTAAAATATATACCGGTAATTTACGAAGTAATTCGTAACGTTTACTGAGTAAATATTCTGGTAATCCTACGATTAACTTGTTAGATATATATATTTTTTTACCAAATAAGTATACTGTATTGGCAATTCTAATATCTTTTAAAATCTTTTTAATCCTAACATTTCCCGTACAAGTTAAGAATCCTAGCAAGTATATTGTACTGTTTAATTCTAATCGTGATGAGCGTTCACAAAGTTTGAAAGCCAATGAAGAAAAACACATTTTATACATCTTTAGGGAAATTTTTTTTTTTTAAAAAAAAAAAAAGGCCCAAATCAAAGAGTCAATCTGCTAGTGCCTGAAAATGGCTTTAAATTACATCAGAAAAACTGGTAAAACAATGTTCCATTGCAGATATTTCTCAACTACAACTAAATCATCAATGTAATCACGCTTGTTTTGTTCCTTTACAACTTTTCACAACAGTTTTTATGGCAGACCCGAGATTATTTACTGGTCAATTCCCTCGATTTTGTCCTCCACTTCCGAGTACAACTGCCTCAACCGTTCAATGTTCTCTTGTGAAGTCTCCCAGTAGCCACGCCCATTGGCCTCCAAGAATGTCTGGACCAACTTCCTGAAGGAATTGGGGTTGGTGCTCATCAGCCTGTTCAACATCTCCTCATCTTGAATGAATGTTGTGTTGGCCTCTTCATACACCCAGTTGTCCACTTGGCCAGAAGTTGCACTCCATCCAACTGTGTTGGTTAGTCTCTTCTCGATCTCACGAACACCCTCGTAACCGCTCGACATCATTCCTTCATACCACTTGGGGTTCAGCAAAAATTGGTGCGCGCGTCAAGCCTCACGGTCTCAGCAAGTGTACGGACCTGCATTACATGAAGTTATCAGTCACAAGGCCAGAATCTTTTTTTTTAGTGACAATTATATAATTTTTCTTATAAAGATGGGCACAACTGAAATTTTAGGAAAGTTTTAGGGAGAAAAATCAAGTGTGGCTCCATCATTGATGACATTACTAGTTTTCTCAACATAAAACCAATGGTGTGGGAATTCAAACCTGTGCATTGGCTGTGGTGGTATCAGCAATGTATGCACTCGGTTTCTTTCCATCCTTCCTCAGGTTCTGCACAAGATTGGTGGGGTCTGAGTCAAAGTAGTGGCTAACATCAGTGAGTGAGATTTCTGAGGAGTCGAGGTTTTGGAATGTTGCGTCTGCTGTGCTCAAGGCCATCTCAAAAACTTTTCTTTTCTCAGTCATGCCTGCACCGGGGGCATCGCAATCAAAAGCGAAAGATTTCCTGCTCAAGTACATGTCCTGCAGTTGCTTCTCATCATTCCATGAGGAGTTCTCCACAGCCAGGTTGACGTTGGAAGAGTAGGATCCTGAGGCATTTGAGAAGACCCGAGTCGCTGCTTCTCTAACTCCAATTCCAAGGGCTTCCGCTTGTTCCAATGCATGCTTCCTGACGTAGTTCATTTCCGCAGGCTCATCTAGTTCAGCCACCATCTTCACTGCCCGATCAAGGAGATTCATCTGCAAACAATAGATAAGAAACCATCAACAGTAGGTTCAAAGAGCAACAGAAAATGCATTAAGAGTAACGGTGCTTTTTAATATGGATATTTTAGCCATCATGACTAATCTCATGGAAAAGAGTTTTAGCTTTCGATAATAGAAACGGACACGCATATAAGTAGGGAAGCTCAAAGAATGGTACCTGGTTGATAAAGAGATCCCTGAATACTCCTGAGCAGTTAACAACAACATCAATCCTAGGCCTTCCAAGCTCTTCGAGACTTACTGTTTCCACCCGGTTGACTCGGCCAAATGTGTCAGCAACAGGTCTCACGCCGATCATCCACAGAACCTGAGCCAAGGACTCACCATAAGTCTTTATGTTGTCTGTGCCCCACAGAACAAGAGCAACTGTCTCGGGATACTTTCCGCCATTTTCATTCTTCTGCCTCCCAACTAGCCTGTCCACCACAACCTTTGCACTCTGCATAGCAGCCGTTGTGGGAATTGCTTGTGGGTCAAGTGCGTGAATGTTCTTCCCTGTTGGCAACACCTTCGGGTTTCTAATTGGGTCACCTCCGGGCCCTGGCTCCACGTATTTTCCCTCCAGTGCTTGCTTCAAGCTTCCCAATTCATTGTCAGCCACAACAAGCTTTAAACATTCTCCCAAGAATTCAAACAATGTTCTCAGCTTGTCCCTATCGGCACGGTAGAATTTGGTGCTTGATAAGTAATCAATCCAAGGTTCATTAATACCAAAGCCAAGAATGGAGGTGAGTCTGTCAGCTACATCAACGACCTGGCCCTTCTTGTTTGTTGTGCGCTCCACAAACGCCGAGGTTGCACCACGTGATGCCTCGGTTATTTGCCTGAGAAGCTCTACATCCTTCAGAATTCCTTTGTCGCTTCCTCTGTAGACGTCCTCTATGTCTCTTCCCACTGTCTCAGCTAATATACCTGGGAGTGAGGAAATATTATCTTCAGGACGATCAAGCGCAGCAATGTTGACCAAGGTTGCTACTGCTTCCATGGCGGATGGAGGCTCACCAATGACGTGCAGGCCACAAGGCAAAAGACGGGACTCAATCTCCATGATCTTTGAATACACCTTTCCGACCACATGATCTCGTTCTTTTGCTGGGATTTCCTGCCCCTCATCAGGTAGTTCCACATCCTTGTCAAGATTGCATTGCCTGGCGGTGCTGATGATTGAGCTAACAATCTGTGGCCCACGACCCGTGTCTTTAAGGGATTGGTAAGAGGAGATGAGCTCACTCAGCTGCTTAAGACCCTTGTAAAGCCCTGCATTTTCTGCTGGAGGGGTCAGGTAGCTTATGGTGTTAGCATAGCTGCGGCGTTTGGCTATGGTGGCTTCAGATGGGTTGTTAGCAGCATAGTAATAGACATTGGGAATGTTTCCGATTAGACTGTCAGGGTAACAGACATCACTCATACCCACTTGCTTTCCAGGCATGAATTCAAGTGAGCCATGAGTACCGAAATGAAGAACTGTATCCGCCTTGAAAATCTTTTCGACGAATGAGTAGTATGCTGCAAAGCCGTGGTGTGGACTAGCTGATTTGGAGAACAATAATCTCATCGGATCACCCTCATAACCAAATGTGGGCTGAACTCCAATGAAGACATTACCGTACTGTTTCCCATAAACCAAGAGATTTTCTCCATCAGAGTTCAAATTCCCTGGAGGCTTCCCCCAGTTCTCTTCCAATGCTGTGGCAAATGGAGTTAGTCTTTGGTATTCACGGACTCCCATTTTGTAAGCGACATTGAGGTTCGGACTGCTGAATTGAGCTTCTTTGTCGTGAATTACGTCTTCAATCAAGGCTTCTGAAGTCTCTGGAAGTCCCTCAACATTGTAACCATCTTTTTGGAGGTCTTTGAGAACTGAGAATATGGAGGAGAAGACATTAAGATAGGCAGCTGTTCCGACATTTCCTTTGTCTGGAGGAAAGCTGAACACAGTAATTGCTAGCCTCTTCTCTGCCTGCATTAGAGTTTATAGCACATACATGTCACTTTGTATTCAATTTGTTCAGCGGTATATAGTAGATACCGTAGATCATTCACATGATTTGAAAATTGATGCTTCGAACTACATGACAGATAAAAGAAGTTGAAGGAAATCAGCAAGTGAATATCTAGCAGCCAACGACACTGGATCAGAGGGTGGAAGAAACTGAAGTCTCCATAACCAGAATTTGTTTCTAGAACGCCTAAGTAAATAATGAAATCAATGTTTTCATATGCATACCCCTTGATTACTAGCCCAAAGGGAAAAGTCTGGTTTCGGAACATAATGAAGACTTCTTTACTATATGAACCTACCTATAATATGTGTAAGAGGAAATAAAGGTGTAAACTACATAATTCCATATTAGTTTCTATCTATAACATCCTCAGCATATAATTATTAGCTAGGAAGGTCAGTGAGGCTAGAACTTTTTGCATTTTAGTTTTGTCTTACAGAAATGACATGATGAGGATGATATTGAATAAGCACATTCAAATAAAAGGAGAAAATAACGCATATGTTAAACAAGAATATGGAGGGCAAAAAAAGAATACCTTTGACTTCCTTTTCAGTTCAGCCCATCTGATTGCCCTGGTGCAGAGTTGCTCCACCCTCTTGTGAAGAGCATGTGCTTTCCCTGCAATCATAAATACAATATTCGTTAGTTTTCAAGACCATGACTGAAAAGTATTCATATCTATACACACACACACACACATCTATATATATATATATAGATATATATGTGTGTGTGTGTGTGTGTGTGTGTGTGTGTGTGTAAAGACAAGAAGCAGAAGAAGAAAAAAGAGAACTACAACTTTATAAGCAATGAAGAAACCGCACGTTTACAGACTCGGTCAAAATCTGAAGTTGCTCTACTAATTCCTTTTAAAAGTCATTATGAACTGTTAAAAAGGCCACAAATTAGACATATCAAAATTTTCTTCGTAACATCCTTGTTCTTTGAAAAGCTAAAGTCATACGATGTTTCCTTTTGAAAGTCATTATAAGCTGCTATTTCAAGACTACTCTCAAGGAGATAATTAAACATTAGAGTAATAAAAAATTTACAGACAAGACAACAATAAAAAAAAGATGCAAAATGAAAAGGAGAGACTTTACTTGCCTGTTTTAGGATCCCGGCCCGCGAAAACAATGGGCTCCATGCCTCCATCCAGCTCTGGAAGAGCTACTTGCAATGCAACCTGAATTGGGTGCAGACCCAAAGTGCTGTTAAGCCACTCCTCAGTTGTCTGGAACACCAAAGGCAATGCAACAATGTAAGGAACATCAAGCTTCATCAAAGCCTCCACAGCCCTGGGATGGTCCTGCCTTGCGGGCCCACCAACAAGGGCAAATCCAGTGAGTGAAACCACCGAGTTCACAAACGGCTTCTTGCTAACCCGATCGATCAAGAACTTCTCCACCGGGCCGGAAAAGTCCAACCCTCCAGCGAAAATCGGTATCACCTTAGCCCCTCTTGCCTCCAACTCCATAATCACTGCCGCATAGTGACCATCATCCCCAGTAACAATGTGACTCCTCTGCAAAATCAGCCCGACAACCGGCGCATCCCGTCCCTTAACCTTCTCATTCAAATCCTTCCTAGTACCATACCAATTCAAATACTCCTTCACATCATCATACATACAAGGAGCCAAAGGGTGCCAAATCCCACTATCTAAGTACAAAACCGGATCCGAATACTCAATCTTAGTCCCCTTAAGCGCCGGAACATAAGACCCCGAAATCATCTTCAGGAAATTCTGCAGATTATCAGGGGACCCACCAAGCCAAAACTGAAGACTCAGAATGTAAAGCCTTGCATCCTGAGCCTTATCACTAGGCAAGTACTTCAACACTTTTGGCAAAGTCCTCACTAGCTTCAACATGCTATCAGCAAAACCTGCTGAAGATTTCTTCTTCTTGAAAAGCTGAAAAAACGGACTTTTTGATTGCCCCAACTGAGACATACTAAAAGAACCCAACTTGTTAAGCCTCATTACTTCCGGCATTGAAGGGAAAACAAGAACAGCATCAAGCCTGTCCCTTTCCTTCTCCACAGCGGATTTCACCTTCAAAGCAAGTTCTTCGACAAAAATCAACGACCCAATAAAGATATTCGCGTCCTCAAGGTCTTTACAGAAAGTTTGGTAAGTTTTCTCGTCACGAAGCTCCTCAACCAAGTAGCCAACGACCTCAAAAGAAGCATACCTTTTGTTGTCGTTTAGGGACTTGACGGCTGAGGTGAGTGCTGACTGATACTGAGCCTCCAAAACGACATAGACGATTTTGACTTTGGGGAGGCCTTGGTTGTTCTCTGGGACGATACGACGAACTTCTGGGGAGGTTTGTGTGAAGAGGCCGTTCCCAACGGCGGCACATTTGACTTTGAGAAAGGATTTTGGGTTGTTTGGTGTCGTTTTCTTGGGGAGAAATGAGTGGAGAAAGTAGTGTTTTTGGGAGAGTGAAGAAAGGTGGTCTTTTGAACTTGGAAGTGTGAATGATGAAGATAGTAAAGAAGCCATGGATGATGATGATCAAGAGAAGGAAAAAAAAATTATAATAGGATTGATAATAATAACACTATTAATTACTACTCTGTTAGTAAAAATTGAGGGGAGAGAGAGAGAGAATTATGAGGAGATTGTATGAGAAATGAATTTGGTTTCTCTCCTTCTATAAACTCTGTTTTTGTTTTCAGTTTTTGGGTTCTCTCTCTTTTTCTTTTTCTTTTTGCTTTGCTTGGGAGTTTTGTTGTTATATATTTTGTGTAGTGCGGAGGGAGAAGCCAATTGGGAAGGGAGAAACGGTTGGTGTTTTATTTTATTTTATTTTAATTTTCTTATTTTGGTGGTGGGAGTTAGAGACACGTGGCAAAATGGGTAGTTTTGGAATTAAATAAATTATGTGTGGTTATTTTTGAGGTTGAGTTTTCATTTTGGGCCATTTGATTGATTAAGGAAGGAAATGAGGAATGGAGTTATCTATCCCATTTGGGTCATTCTTGATGGAGTTTCCTGAGTTCTGATTGGTTGAAGTGGATTTCACAAAAGTGCCACAAGGGAGAGTGAGGTGGAAGGTGGATGATGAGAGAGAAAAATGAGAGATTCTTTTTTTTTTTTTTTTTTGTCAAATTCAATAGAGCCCCCCTTTTAATTGTAAAGATTTCTTGCTTTCTGAGTTTGTGTTCCTGAATGAAAAGGAGGTGATATTTTTTCTGTGACACCAATGGGACCAGGTATCCTAGTCGTAGGCCATGTAAGATGCCAAGTCCAAAAATATATATATTTTTTCCTTTCCCTGTTTTGTTTTTACCTTGTGATAAATTGGGATTATTTTATGCTGTGAGAAAAAATATCTCAGTACTGTACAAGAAAATATAATTTGTAAAATTTTATATTAAAATTTACAGATGCCAAGTCCAAAAATATATATATTTTTTCCTTTCCCTGTTTTGTTTTTACCTTGTGATAAATTGGGATTATTTTATGCTGTGAGAAAAAATATCTCAGTACTGTACAAGAAAATATAATTTGTAAAATTTTATATTAAAATTTACAAATTTAAATTATAAAATTATAAAAGTTATAATAATTTATAAAATTTAAATTTTACGATAATTTATTTTAAAACTTGTAAATTTGAATGATTTATCGTAAAATTTAAAATTTAACAAATTATCGTCTGAATATTGTAACTTTTTCGTTTGAATTTATAAGTTGTAACGTAAAATTTTATAAATTATCGTATCTCTTAACACGGTGTCGGAAAAAAAATGCCCTGATAACTTATAAAGACCCGATAAACTGAAGCCGGAGAGTTTTTGACATGTAAGCCTACTAGGGAAGGTGAAATATAGTAAAGAGTTTAAAATATTTCACAAATAACAAAAGATCACTTTATTATAACTGTTACTGTTGTTTCGTAGTATAAAACGTGAAATCATAATAATAATGATTACTGACTTCCAAAATATGTCAAAAAAAAAAGAGATATATCTAACTCCACTCTTATGATCATGCCATATAGTATGATTTTGTATACGAAATTGGGAGATCACGTCGATCTAATTTAGGTTGACACGATACAATAAAATTACCTTATGATACGTATAATTATTTATAGAAGCACAAAAAAGGGTTTTAAATGGGAGAGAACTTTGATAGTTGGGTTAATAGCAGCACGGTGTTGAGTAAAAATGAGGTCCCTATTATGAAAATGATATTATACCTCATTAGAAATATGTTATAATAGATGGGGATGCTGCCATGTTACTTTAACAAGTCAAGTTCCCCAAAAGAAAACCAAGCATAGAGAGTTAGATAACAAATTAGATGTGAGGAATTAAATAAGAGAAGATTTTCCTTTTAGTGTTATTCTAAATAAAAATACTATTCTTATATTACGGTTAAAGAAATTAGAAACTTATTCATGTCTAATTTTTCATCCGTTAATATTTGTTACTTTTAAGTTTAATATCATAGGTGTTTCTTGAATTTCGATGTCATTTTCACTTTACTCCTTAAATTATAAAATTCACTTCACCCCTTAGAGAAATACTAACATTACTCTTTCTGTTATTCTCATTATCACTTTACCCCTTAAACTAGTATTTCTCTTACCCCTGAATTTTGATTGTCTCATTTAAGTTTTTTTTGTAAGAATTTATGTCAAATCAGACAGAAAATGAAATGGTTAAGTATGAGCTTTTTATTA